TGAGTCTTTGGGCAAGGATGTCCTTCCAACAGCATGAATCCAAGCTCGTCGAATCGCTGCATCATTCGGAAAATTGTGGAAACGAATTTTGGGATCGTTTCTCCTGTTATTAGCTTGAATACTACACTCAAAAGCAACGCAATGCGGCATTTTGCTACCAATTTTACCGAGGCCAAGGGGATCGAGCAACCATTTTACGTCATCACCCCAGAGAGCCTTACCCGCCGATCAAAATGGCGATCGCGGGATGTTCGAACTGGTCATGAAGGCCTCTTTTGAGAGGCCAAAACAAAAAATCTAAGGAGAGAGAACATTTTTCTGTCCCAAAAACCTACTTTTGGACACTTAAAGAGCATTTTAAGCGAAATTTTCGAAAACAGTGGAGGATCCCTTTGTACAGATCTTGCCATATGAAGGGCATTTCTCTATTCCTCGCTCATGTTTTCTGCCACAATATTTGCAAGGTCGAAACTCTCTCCCCGGTTGCTCCCCTTTTGTAGGCGTTCAGTTGATGAACTGCTTCTGTACCATGGTTGGCTATCTCTTTCAGCTGGCTGTTAGCTGCCTCAGCCGCTCTGCAATAATTCATACATTTCTCTAGTACGTGTCAGCCCTGATTCGTGCAACAGTTTCTTGCGGAGCGCATTGTCTGAAATACCACACACGAGTCTGCCTCGAATCATTTCTTCCTTTAGGGATCCAAACGAACATGTATCTGCCAGTGTGCGAAGTGCAGATGCATAGGCGTCAATTGTTTCTGCGAATTCTTGTGCTCTGATATGGAATTCATGTGTAGCGTTCATAAATCGTATTAGTGTTGCCCACGCAGTAATTACTCCACAACTCCAGGACTTTATCGATCCTACCTTTATCTTCCTCAGTAGCGAAGGGTAAACCAGAGTGGATCTCAAGAGCTTCTGGTCCGATACATGCAACGAAAGTTGCTACGCGGTAGTCGTTTAGTTTTGATTGCAAACCTGTGATTGTTTCGTATGCTTTCCTTGTTTGCAGCCAGTTTTTCCAATTTCTTGCCAAGTCACCACGAAGGTCTAGCCTAGGAGGTATTGGGACGTTAGAGGTAAAGATTTGCTGCGGTGTTGCAGGGCTCGGAGCCGTTGCAGTGCTGCTGCTCTCGGCTCCTGGAGTTGCCATCTGTTCGAGTCCTGTCGCCGCATCACGATCCAAAGTCTTCTCAAAGGTGTCCAAAGCGCCGACGAAAAAGAAAAAAATTGGTGAAGGTCTTGCTTAAAACACTGTTGTCGATTCCACTCCTGACACCATGCAACGATAGTGGTCCCAAAGACTAAAGAAAGACGCTAAAGGCGATAGATAACAGGTTTTAATGGCCGCCTCAGACTACGTCATAAACCATTCGAAGAAGCACTAATGAACTCAAAATGTTGTATTTTGGTAGAGTTAATAACATAGTTTACTACAGCTCCTGAAACGTCTAAACTCTTCTTTTGAATTCCAAAATGAAAGCAGCGATATATACACCCAAATCAAACTGCTCACTAAGAATAATTGGCAACTTACGTTCAACACCTGAGCTTACCATTCCCCCTGTGATATGCAAAGATTCCTAAACATGTCCTACTTGATTGCGGGAGATAAGATGAACAGTGCAAAGCAACAAATTTCCAGCGTAAAGGCGAAGAGAGAACCAGGTGATTAGAAAATGTGGAAAACATAGCTTTCGCATGCGTAAGAATGACCTTCCAGAGTTACTGGTTGTGGGGTATAACCACAAATTTTGACAAAACTCGAGTTAAAGGTTGACTGCATAGGGTTTCTGTAAAAAAAAAAAATCCTAAAATTTTCGTTTCATGTAATTTCCCAACAAGTGTTATTTTGAGTTTTGTTATTACCTTTTACTCTCTCTGACCCCCCAGCCTTTATTCTCCGTTTAATCTTTTCCAAACGTGCTTCATCTTGTGTGGGTAGGGTTTCTGTAAAAAAAAAAAAAAAAGCAAAAAATTTTCCTTTTTAATGATCAAACTTCTCAGTAACAAAATTAAATAATTTGAGTATCGTATTACCTTTCATTTTCTCTGGCTCCTCAACCTCTATCTTCTGTGTCCTTTTTTCCAAATGTGCTTCATCTTCAAAACTTACGAAGTATGACTGAGAGCCCAAAACATCTTGTGTAAAAAAATAACAGAAAACAAATTTGTGTTTACCATTCACACAAAACTGCATTTCATATACAGTTAATTGAACCTTAAATATCCAAATCCACAAGGACAGGCTTGAAAAGTCCAAGCAGATAGTAGAGGAAACTGATAATCAAAAATATAAATATTAATGAGCCAAAAATAAAAAATTTGAATTAATTAAAAGAGAATAATTATGTACTTATATCATGCAAGAAAACACATTCTCAAAAAATTGTACATCATTCTTTGACACTACCAACTAGAAGATAGTTGAATATTGTCAACATTGGTTTGACTAACCAACCATGTTAAACACTTTCTAAAACATTCAGTGACATCTTCAAAAAGGGGAACAAGTTCAGTTCAAAGAGAGTTTCACTATATGCTCAGAAAGTTGTTAAATGTCATGAATGACATTTATTTACAATAACAACAAATGGGACTGGAGGGGCCAATCCAGATAATAATAAAATCCAGATAATAGTTAGACATCCAAATAATCAAAGTTTGACTCAGTGGCACACATCAAATTATTCTACAGATACCCAACATTCAGAATTCCTTTGTTCATAATCCCTACACCAAATCATGACTGACTAAAACTATTTGCTTAATCTTTTTCCATATTAATTTCTTGAATAATCACAAACAAAACAAAACCCAAAGAAAATACATGTACGGTGCGGGGTGTAAGTATTTTTTAGGTAATGATGGCAGATTTGAACTTTCTGCTGACTAACCTCTGAGTTGTACTCTCTCAAAGTAATATTTTCTTGCTTTGTACTCTTCTATGTCCATTGATGTTTTCAGTTTTAGCTCAGCCAGGTTCAGTTCCTTCAGGATCTTTTCTGTCACAAAGCAATTTTGAACCATTTCACCAAGATGACCAGATATATAATCTTTCCACAATTCTTCCAAGATTTGGAGAGAATCACACCTCACTGTTATCACCAAACTTCCTACAGAGACACTAGTAAGGATGACCCTCATTTCTCTTAAGTATTCCTGAAACTCCTTGCGGTCCTCTCTGCTCTGTGGTGGTGTAGTCTGGAGGTAATTCATAGCAATTGAGCACAGGACTCTGTCTTTGAATGCTTGAGGATCTTCTGTTCCTGAATGAGACACATTTCCTTCTTTAGGCAATGTGTCAGACGCACTCTGATATTGACCCTCTTGGCATCCTCCAGACCATGTTGCAAAGGTTATAGTCTGCATATTGGGTTCTTTTGTTTTCAACTCTTCAGCCTCAACCATCATGTCCAATTTACCATCTGCTGAATTGCGACAAACATTCTAATTTAATCTCAGTTTACAATTTTATTTTTCACCCCTTAGCTATTTGACAATAAAAATATAGTTAGCTCATTCCTCATGATGATCAAATTTCTCAGTGATCTTGATAAATGATAACAATTTAGAACATATTAAAATGGTGTAATGTAACTCTCACATTTAGGGTGTGTTTGTAATGATTAGATCAAAATGTTTAAACCTACACTTGTTTCTGTCTTCCTTTTTCCAAGATAAATTACCTATACCCTAATTCTCAAACAAAGAATAATTCAAACCAACAAAGGAGAACAATACAAAAATGGAAACAAAAGGATTCCAACCCCCTTAAGTACAGCCCATCAAATTTTAGATACACAACAATAAAATTCAACTGCTCATGTTTTAACTACTGAAGACTGTGTTTATTCATAAATGTGTGGTTTCAACCATCAGTCTATTATCAGTTTGACATGCTGTTAGGACCAGTGCTGATTAGAGAATTACTGTAACAGTTTGTTAAGTCTTATGGTTGTAAAGCCAGTCATGAAGGCATATTATTTACCACATCATACTGTACGTAGAAGTTTCCAATTCATTACAAATAAATTATTTTGATCTGCCAAGCTCTTAGGCATAAATATTGAAATTTTTAGTTTGAATGCCCATTTTAAGATTCAATCAGGTTAATTTTATTAGGTTTGGTGACTTTTTATTCCAGTTAGAAAGAGAAATTGTTACATGCACTTGCACTGGCTTGTTTAGTCACTGTCAGTAATGAACATAGTTTCACTTCTTTCACTCTATGCTTTCTCAAATATTTACCAGTTTTGCACATTGTATAGCCACCTTGCCTTTTAGCTCCCCTTCCTTGGTTAGCCAAGATTGAAAAGTCTTCAGCGCACTTGTGGAAAAGATACAGCTCAAATTCAAATTTGGTAACTGTAACACTGAATAAAAACCTGATTAAAAGCAACTATAAATGCATTAAGCTCACCATTTGCAGTTTTCATAACATTTTCAATTATTTCTCTGAATCTCGCACATTCTGTTTCCCAAGAGTAAACCTTCCGGTAATTCTCTCGCAGCTTCATGGCATTGGCTTCTCTCTCATCTGCACTTTTTTCAGACGTCTCTCTAATCCTTCGTGCCCATCCATCTGCATCTTCATCTGATTCGACAATAACAGTGTTTCCTCCTTCTACTTGTTTGAAAGTCTCAGCTACTCCAGATTCGCTAGAAACAAGGATAGGAACACCAGCAGAAATGGCTTCGAGGGCGACAAGCCCGAAGCCTTCGGTACGGGAAGGTAGAGCGACCAAGTCTGACTGATGGAACATTACCTTGAGATCCTCTGGATCACTGCAATAACCACGGATAGTTAGTTGGTTGCGGGTAATGTCAGTGTTTTCAAGAAACCACTCCTCAACCTTTTGATGTTCACCAGGAGATGAGCCAACAAATGTCAGCTCAAAGTTCTTACTGAGAGAACCTATGGCATTTGCAACAATATCGTATCCCTTAAGGGAGAGATCCTCAAAGGTAGCTCGGCCAAACAAAAACACGTTAAAGTTCTTTACAACTGATCTGTGTTTAGCGAACTGTGATTCACAGGAAAACTTTTCAAAGATTCCAGGGGTAATAATCTCCACTTTGACATTTGGCAGACTTCTGCTGTATTTCTTTTGTAGACGTGAGCCAACTGCGACGACTGCGTCCGCTGCTTTACACAAATCAATTTCCTTCTTGTGCTTCTTCTCATTTTCTTCGATTGTATCTGTGGCAGCCATAGCTGTCTTCTTGTATTTCCCGAGGTCCTCACAATAAACGTGGACAAATTGTATCCATTGACACATTGTGGCCTTAACTAAGAAATACGCACAGAGACCGAACTTTCTTCCATGGCCTATCACCAGATGCGGACTTCGGAGCTCTGAGGGAGGAATTTTCAAGCATTCAAACGAGTCAGTTGAACCAGGAATATTTTTAGCAGTGATTAAATTTAAACCGTGTTGTCTAGCATCTTCTCTGTCCTGATCGTCGCTTTTCGTGACGTAGCAGTGGATTTTCATGCTACCTACCGTCGCTTGTGCCAAATTAATAGCAAACTCTCGATTGAAAGTCGATAATCCACCCTTCGAGGATTTCCACTCGTCACAAAGAAACACGACATCAATAACCCCCTGCTCTTTCTCCTCCTGTTGGCCACTTACAACAGTCGACTCTTTTGAAGACGCCATGGTTATTATAGCAACGTTCTCCTCAACCAATTCATTCCCCTGAAAATCGGCAGAAATTCCATAGGACCATCCACGACTGATTTCATCTTTTTCAGTCGATGCCCTTGTTACTCATAAAGATGTACATGCCTCGTGTTTTACCCGGAAGTTGTGCCTACAGATCTAAGGGATTATCTGTTCAGCGGTTTCAGAGCTGAAAGCCTGTGGGTACCACAACAAACTCGCCACAACTGAGAAAGGGTGTCGGCTGCCTTACAACCTCCGTTATGTTCGCACCGTCGTAGTGTTCGCAGAAGCGTACACATTTTGACCGCCGTAGTTGTTTACTTCTTTTGAACCGATGTGAAGGATCGGTATCTCTTCTCCGTATTAAAATCTCACTGAAAACTCCACATACCCGAAGATCCGAGGTCGCAGTAGCATTTACTTTCATGTAAATTTTCTTAGTGGGGTTGGATAATGCTGTTAGAAGACGTAATAAAATTCAGGTTGTTTAGAAATAAATAACAAGTGATAGAGGAAGTCTTATGGACGAAATGGCATTTGATTGGTGGAATACAATTCAAGCACGTAAATAATTGCTTGACGTTTATGTAGTGTTATGATTGGATATGTTCTGTTTGGACTTTGAACGTTGTTTTGATAGTACGAGACGGAATGTTAGTTTTTTGGCTTGGTCGTTGTGAGTCAGGCTGGTTGTGAGTAAAGGAGCTGAAGACACGTTTTAACTTAAGAATTGTGCAAAAAAAATTACCACCCAACCTTAATCCCGATAAATCTCGAACTAAAGCGACGAAGCTCTCATGAAGGCCAAAAACCATTACACTCACCAAACGAACACATATTTCTGGTTAATGTCTTTGTGCGCAACTCCCTGATTCCATGACATCATTGTCGAGAAAACGATACCGAAATGCCCTGATTGGCGCGAGATATTAAATGTGATTAGTGTGAGATGCATACCCTAATGCGGCAGCCTGATTGGCGCGAGATGTATACCCTAGTGTAGCGTTCAGATTGTTGCGAGCAACATGTCACTCTACACTGTTATGGAGAGTGACTAAAAATAGTTTCAAGGAAATTTCTAGAATACTTTTAATGGATTTCTCTGTAATTTTTTGTCAGGTTTTGTTGTTATCATGTAATAGTATTGAAATAGTGATGTTGTAAGGTTCTGGAATACTTTGTAAATATATAGATAGGGACTAGGTCGTGCAGTAGTACTGAACAGATGCTGTTGTCGGGAGTGATCAACTATTTGGGAAAGCTATCCCAGAGATCCCACTTACATTTTTAGGCCAATGTTGTGAAATTATACTTTCAACCATCGTGTAATTTTAAAACTTTGGTAAAAGATCATGACAAGGCTCTATTACAATTACTCCATCCAATGTGTTGCAGAAAACAATAATTAAATCTGCTCAATTTGCAGTTTCTTAAACAGTTGTTGAAGGAAGCTATTAAAAGACTGTTTGTCAATATGAACAACCAGACTGGTGGCCAAAGGAAAACATGATTTCAGGCATGCCTTTGTTAGAATATGTTTATTGAAAGTTATCGGTTTTATCGTTCTGAATGAGCAAGTTTTCTTGATAATGCTATGGTGTCTAGAACTCCTAAGTACAAGTTTTAAGATGCAACAGAAATGCTAGGTGGCACGTCTGATGTTCTGTGAGTTAAAAACCTTGTCATTATTAGACTACTTACCCACTGACCAGTAATGCAAGGGCCAAGTATGTAGCAATGTTATTTGTTGCAATTGCAAATCCTAAGCTACAAAATTTAACACGGTAAAAGTAACTAAAGTTCCCGAAAGTTGATTTGTTAAAAGAAAACTGTTATGAGATAATAAGATTCTAGCGCAGCTGTAGACTGATATAGCGATATTTATTCGTGCCTAGTCCACTCTGGGTGTTCTTGAAGCTGACGCTGGCTAATTTCTGAGTCTTCGTCGTATTCTAAAAAAGAATCACGTGTAACGGTGATTAGTAAGAGAAGCAAAACGCACAACATGGGATAAAAGAAATCATCATCATCATTGCTCATACTTGTTAAATTCATGAACCTTGTAGTGACCGTATTCACTGTTTAGTTCTCTCTAACTCAGTCGTTAAGAGTTCGTCTGTGAATTCTGACTTCTGTTTTTTTTTTCTTGGAAGTTTCTTTGTTCCTTTTTTTCTCGCGCTCTTGAATAAGCGATTGACATCTTTACTCGAGTATTTAACAACTATTCGCCGAAGTGGAGGAGACTAATGGCGGATATTCATTAGAATAAAATCTAACCTATAGAGAATGAAATAAACAGTGCAAACACGATAACTGGCAGTACATATGTTTCTTTTTATACGGCAAGATTTTTAACAGTTCAGCAGCTGTTCACCTGATGATGCTGCAGAGAAGAGGTTGAGTCGTTTCAAAGTGTCTGCAATGTCTTCCACCTTTTCTTTCCTTTCTGCGTCAACAGCAGCGTTGTTTGCAAGACAGTAACTTATAAAACTAGGAAAAAAGGAGTTTATGTAAGATTTGCTCACTTAGTAGAGAGCACAGAACCTTCACAGTTTAAAATTGCCAAGGTCCATAGTTACATACATATTCTCAAAGTTGCATCTAGCCCACTCCTTTAATAAAGTTTAATTTTCTAAAAGTACTGCTGAATGTAATCTGCTCCACTCACGTTTTCCAGTTCTCGTCCCGGCAGAGCATGTCCGGGTTCCCTATCAGAATCAAGAGAGCCTGGGCACGAGTTATGGCCACGTTGAATCTCTAAGGAAAAAGGGTGAAATGTTACTTATTAAATATCCCTTACATTTGCTGGAGGGATGTGGGATACCGGAGGAATAGTTCGGGAATATTCCAAAATGATAAACCCTAATCACCCTATGCATAACGAGAAGAGACTGGGAGGGATGAACGTGAAAACGAGGCTAGTTGGGCCTTGTTTGCCTGTGTTAGAATATGGCCGCTCATGACTCTGTAAGTAGCCGTCTTTCTCAGACTCTTACGGAGGAAGATATCCCAGGAGCATCGCTTCAAGGAAGAAATCCGACTGCTCTTAAATCAGATGAACTTCGTTTTTGGTTAAAATGTCGTGGCGATCCAGCAAAGGGGTTAAAAACAAAGGCACAATTGGCGAAAAGGCAAGTACAGTATTTGTTAGTCGTACGTGATACTTCTTAGAATTAAACAGATTTTAATATCGTAAATGAAGATCAAAGGATTTTAGGAATTACTTTTCTAAATGAAATGTTGATGAAGTGATTGATAGTTTTTCTACTTTTCATTTCAAAGAGTTCTTGAATATGGCAACAAACATATGAAACATATGTGTGAACTGCGGTTATGAGACGTATATGAGAACGATCCTTCGCAGTAAAGCACTATTTGAGCAATAGTGAAAATCAGACCTGAAAAAAATTTGATGGCCTGCTCCCAGTTGGCTTGTTAGCTCAATTGGTAGAGCGCTGCACTAGTATCGCAGAGGTCAGTGGTTCGAATCCCGTACAGGCCTGAAATTTTTTTCAGGTCTGATTTTCACTATTGCTCAAATAGTGCTTTACTGCGAAGGATCGTTCTCATATACGTCTCATAACCGCAGTTCACACATATGTTTCATATGTTTGTTGTCGTTTGATTTATCATCTACGGGTTTATGTCGAATTAATTTGATGGCCTGCTCCCAGTTGGCTTGTTAGCTCAATTGGTAGAGCGCTGCACTAGTATCGCAGAGGTCAGTGGTTCGAATCCCGTACAGGCCTGAAATTTTTTTCAGGTCTGATTTTCACTATTGCTCAAATAGTGCTTTACTGCGAAGGATCGTTCTCATATACGTAAGTTCTTGAATATGTTGCGTGTGGTCGTGATAAAGATGTTGTGGATCCCGATAAAAATCTGTTATACAAGCGTCGGAAGGAGAGACAAGAACAACTCGCTCAAAGTGATGCGATGCCTGAGGAAAGAAGTGTTTAATTTCCATCAGCTGGATGGTCTACAAATTTGCAACGCATGCCATTATTCACAAGGGCAGAGATGGATTTACATATTTCTAAATCTGGAAAAAACTTGGACAAAAATAAACAGAACCATGCGGTTCCAACAAGCATGAAAAAGGCAAAAACATTTCTTGTTGATGAATATCTGAAGGACTTAACTTGCGCAAGTGACGACCATTATTTCTATTTTAAATGCTTGTGTTACCATAGTTTGAAAAAAAATGAGCCACCCAATAAATTACAAGTTGCACTTTGTTTAGTAACTGGCGCTGTTAAATATGCCTCTTGTACATGTGTAGCAGAAACTGTTGGTTTTTGCAATCATGTGCTGGCTATTATTGGTTTAGAAAATAGTTAACCTGAGAAATATCATCAAGTTTACATTTATTAAATTTGACTGAAATTCTGTATTGTACCTCAGAGCTCTGTCTAACTCAGTGTTAAGTGGAAATGAGAGGGTCCTGAATGTTACATAAAAAGGCACAGACAATCCACATTTAGTTTACTACCCCAAACAAACTGAGGGGCACAACACTATCCCAGAAGTGAAAATTCTTGACTTTGTTGATGGCCCATTCAACATGTATTCTAACAGAAGCAATTTCTTGAGTCTTGATAACATCTTGTGCTGTCATTTGGCTATTGGAGCCTAAAAAGGGGGGAATGTTTAGGGTTATACCCAGTGGGAGTAGGTCTTCAATTGTAAAACCTTTATCGGCCATCACGGTGTCACCATTGTCAAACTCTAACTTCAGGAAACCACTTCGTTCAACAATTTTGCGATCGGAAATGCTTCCACTATATAGCTGACTGATAAAAAGATATAGCTCCACTGGGAGAAATTCCAACAAAGCCTTTTAGAGTTACATGGTTCTTATAGGAGCTGAACAGTTTGGAATTCAACAGAAGGCTGGAAGGCATTTGGCATCCTATTTCTGTACAATCAATTATTACACGGGTGGAAGAGTACTTCTCTTTAAAGCTGTCAGGCATTGTAGCTCTTATGACCTCCCTATTAGGCCATATAGATACTTTACCAAATTTTAAATACATATAATTAATCCAAGAAAGGATTGTACTGCTTACTGTCGATTGTGAAATACCAAACAAGTGTGCTAGATGTTTTTCTGCAAATCCTCTTCTCAGTCTGCACAGAACAAGGAAGAACTCCTCTCTGGGTTCTAAGCTTCTTCGTCTACCTATGTTAGTACATCCCTCTGGTTCCTCGTTTACACCATGGTAAATCTCCTTTTGGACAGTTCTTTCTTTTGATAAACAGTACCTGATGTTTTCTCCTTTCGATCCAGTATTAATAAATTCAAACACAGCATTAAATGTTGCTAAGTTAGGAAATCCCGTATAAAAGGCAATGTCCGCGTCGGTAGTAAAATTGCGTGGTTGAAAAAGGCGGGAAAGTTTAAGACTCAACTGGCGTTTTAATACGTCTATTTCAGCTTTTAAATTCGCATTTTCGAGTTCAAAACCTCGAATACTTTCAAGTTCTTTAACTTCTCCTGTTTGATATCCACACGAATTTAAGCTGCTTTTTACATCATGATAACTAATAGCTGCTGATGAACTACAGGTTTCAAAAGTTGCTTTAGCTGCATTTGCAGTTGTTTGACTTTGACTTTGAGATTGTTGCAACTCCTTGTTTGAAAACCCTGTTATGGAAGAAATATTGCGACATTTAGGAGGTGCTCTCTTTTTCGGAGAACCTGCTTTGGACCACGAAAATCGAGATGGAATTACCCCTGCCTTTACATAAACACGCTAACCTCCAACAGCTTTAACGAAGTCCTCGGGCTTAAAATGACGAGAACAAATCTTCGTGTTTTCGCTGACTCAAACTCTTTTCCTTCGTCTCGACGAATGGCATGGAGCCAACGCTTTTTGAGGATAGTGTCCTCCGGAAATTTAAAGTAAGAAATTTTCTCCCCACTTTCGGTTCTGTACATCTTTTTGGTACAGTTTGGCACACAACAGTTTTGCGGCATTTTCAAAAACTTGCGCTCTTCACGTCAAGCGGCCATTTTTATTTATTTGGCCCAACTAGCCTCGTTTTCAAGCTAAATGCTCCCAGTCTCTTTTCGTTCTGCATAGGGTGTATGGATTGGTCGTGGCAAACGAAGAGTTATCATAATTCTAAACGTGGGTTTAACAAGCCTTTTCTTATTCTTCAAAGGAGGTTTTAACCGTTACAACTATCAAGCCAGTTGACAATTTCTCTCATTTTACAATATACAAAACCTCAGCCCCTGTAGATGAGAGGAAAGTCAGTACGAAAAGATTAAACCGAGATTCTACCTTAGGATTGTTTAGGAATCCGAGGTGGAAGTTCTTGTCCATCTCCAGATATTCTTTCTTGGTGCTTCTAACTGTTGACAAGATGATTATTCTTCTTTCTTGCCCCTGAAACTCTTCCACGCTACCAACTTTGATTTCGCCACCAAAGCGCCTTTTTTCGATCATTTTTTGGATCTTTTGCACCTTACCATGAAATGACAATACCGATTAGAAATAATGATTTATTATCTATTATTTATTTATTTGGTATTCGTAGAAGATAAGATCCACTCCTGTACTTACTTGTCTCTTGTAAGGCGATATCACCCCAATCATCTCAGGTCTCAAGTGCTTTAGTCCTCTGCTCCTCACATTGTCGTCCAACAGTTTCCTCAGGTATCGCTCAATAGTTTCCACCTCAGCCACGTTAAAGAATGAAGGGCTGCTGCCTTCTCTTTCATCCTTACCAAACACCGGATGGAAAATTATCGGGAAGTTCTTATTTGGAAGCTCTTCCCAGCCTATCATCACATTTCTTGGAGAAAACAGGTGAATATTTACTGAACAATAGTCTACATTCCGGTTTGGTTATCGTAGGAAAGTGGCGGAGATAGGGGAAGAGGTTGTCATCAGATGATGAAATTTTATCAGACAACAGCTGAAATAACACCGCATTTATATCATCATCTGCGGACCCAAGATGAGCAGGGACTCCCATAGGCGGATGATGAGTTTGCTGGTCATCACGTTAGGGGAAATCAACGATCTTTGGTCTCACTTATGCCCCTTAAGACTAATATTTATCAATTATCTTTTAGGTGGTGTTTTTGGAGGGTTAAGTAAAGCACAAGTCATGTATAGATTAGAACGCTTTTGAACCTAAGACAACTCTACAACGGGCATCCCCATCCAAATCCTATGAAAGTCTGCCCGTGTTACGTTCATTAATAAGGTATTGCCTGTAATCAGTTACATTTCGATGTAGATATTGTTACAAAAAGCAGCTTTTTTCTCAGTTGCTTGTACGGTTTTGTAAAATCAGGTTTCCTCTTTTTCCAAAAAATGAAAATAATTTTATCACCTGAAATCTCCAGCGCATTCATTCAGCTCGTTTTCATAAAACAGCTGTTTGGGAATCTCGATAATGGCTCTGTGTGAACGGTAATTGTTCACAAGTTTTGTCAACAGATTTGAATTATAATTCCCTCCAGCTCCACGATCGTAGGCGGGACATGAAGTCATCAGCCGTTCCAAGAGAGAAGTTTCTGCGAATACGAGATAAGGGTTAAAAGAGCAAGTGATTGGTTTAGAAGGAGGCTTTTGCCCCTTGTAAGCGGGTAAATAGCAAACCTCTTAGCTGATTATCTCTTTGAAAATGACTGTCTTCAATAAATCGCAAAAGCGAATTCAAAGAGCTCAAAGTCTGACGTAAATCTTTTGTTTGAAAAGTTAACTTTAACCAGAGTTATAGGTGTTCTTGTGATCATAAAGGGCTGTATATAGCGACGGCTGTTTACAGATATTGCCTGTGATTTACTCACCCAGTCCATACTTCTGTGTAATTGGGGATCTGAGGATTGGTCCTAACTGCTTAGGGTCTCCTGCAAGCACCAGCTGACCGCCCCTGGGGTTATAGGGGTCCAGGAGGTCTGCCACAGGGATGATACACTCAGGTTCTGTTGCATGACCCGCCTCGTCTATGAAAATGTGCGTGAAATGATTTCTGGGGAACAGGGCTGACACCAACCTGAGAAAATAATGCAAAAAAGAAGTTTTGGCAGTTAAAATGTTTTTATAGCAAGTTAACACGAGTTTGTTTTTCTTTGTCATACTTATTTCTTACACGTTCTTGTTCGCAAGGGGAGAAAATATGCTCATATTCTTACACAACACCACCCACCTTCCTGCTGTGACTAGCGTGGTAACAATAATGCGATAGTCGCTGACCAATTCCTCTCTAGAAGGGTAATACACTTCATGTAACACAGGGTCAAAATTGACTACTCGTGCGTCCTGAAAAGTGAAATTTGAGTTAAGAAGTTGTATATATTTCTCGGGCTATAATAAATTTAGATGTAGACTTTGCGTAACATTTTCAAATCTAGGGTGGTAATATTTATGGCAGTTGAATGCTGGAAATATCTGTCCAAATGGTACCATAGTACTATATAATAATAAGTGGAAAGAATTAGAGTGTTAACCTTAAGCTTTTGAGGCACAAAGTCCCAGGGCCTTGACGCAGCGTACATCCGGAACATTTTGCCTTTATCTACGTGAGGCAACAGGCGCTCAGCTAATAGGTCAGCAGCGCTGTTTTCTGGCGCACAAGCCAGAATGTAGCTTGAGCCAATCAAAGCGTGCACCTGTAGGTAACGAAAAGAAGAAAGACAGCGAATTATTGGTTTCATTTTTTCGTCCAGTAATAAACTGCCGGAATGCTTTCCATTTGTCCGAACTACCTTGTGGACCCTTCAGTTCTTAAATGGAACGAGTCAGCTCTGACAACCAACAGAACTGCCTCTAACCGAAATTGCCTTTTCCTGTGAGTACAGGATTCAAGCTCCTTTGGGGACTACTTAAAAAATTCGCAGGCGTTTCTGCTGACCATTTCCAGTAACACTTTACATTGGAGACAGGCAACAAAATGTAACTCGCACGCTTGAGGTGGACTTATCCTTTCCATTTATCCCGACCAGCCGGAACCATTTCTATCAGTCAGGCGAGAAATGAAAAAAGGTCCCTAAGGGATCCTTCTCACCTGTTTAATCGCCTCGACCAATGTAACAGTCTTTCCAGTTCCAGGGGGTCCAAACACAAGATATGGTGCAGGGCGTGAAGATCCTGACACAATCTTCTGAACTGCTTGCTCCTGTTCACTGTTTAGATTACGATCGTAGAAGAAACTGAAAACAAGGAGAATCGTCTTTATGTTCGTTTTGTGTATGAGCCAATTAAATGTGAACTTAAAGTGGGAAAATTTACTTTACGTGTGGTTGTATTAAAAAATTATGATACCAATGCAGTTAATGTTAAATATCAAGCGTAGTATAAGTAGCTGTGTGGACAATGAGAAGCTTAATTTCCCTAAGCCCGCAATGAGTATGAACGCACTGAAAGAAAAAGATGCTCTCTAACACCTGTTCAGTTCTTACAAAGCTAAAGTACTTTCAGATCTGGCACAGTCCTAGCTTGGAAACTTAGTATCTAGAACTGGGAATGAATCTGAAGCGCTGTCGAATCCCGAATTACTCCCAGACTTCTATTTTCTGCATTTTCTATATATACAATTTGCCTGTGTGTTAGTTTTGATACGCTATTTATTTTCTTTGTACTTTAGATTATTGCATAACCACCTATTGTCTATGCTTAGTTAATGTTTATCTACGTTACGGTTTATTTTTGTCGATTACTGTAATTGGTGTGAAAATGTTACGCAATTTATGTCAGTCATTCGCTCATATTACAGGCTTGCGACAATGAGACAACCATTTTTTGATCGCTGTCAAGAGGTCGTGCGCTCCCCTACTCAGTGTAAATTGTTTTGTCTACTCCGCTACCCGCCCTTTTCAAGGACGCTAGGAGCTCTACCAAAGCAAGTTACCTATATTGTTTATGCTGGATTTAGTTTATCGTTTCCTTCATTATTAGTTCAGTTGATTTCAAGAATAGGTCATTGTGCTGTGTCATCGTTTGTAAGTCAATTAATTAGCTTCGTTTCTTTTTCTGTTACCTTCTAGTTCGAACCACACACACATAATTCTACCACATTTGCTATCGCAATCACACCAAGTATTCAGCAACTACCTTATTTATCGCTACCTGGCTACGTTCCATTTTGTATCACATAAAATCAAACACTTGGGATTGTTACACGTGGTGCTTTTGCGTTCGTTTTGGGGCTCTATGTACTAGCTATCCTTCCACTGCGACGCTACCCTGTGATTCTCTCAGGAATTCACACTGTGAGGATCAGCCTCTATCACTAATCATACACAAGTCAAAGGTGATGCGACTGGTACATTTTTTATTTTAACACCTGTCTATTTTGTAATCATATAGGATGAGAATAGATAATGTACGAAGGGCACCTGTTCAGTGAGGGAGCATGACAATACCGAGAATTACCAATAAAGGATAGAGCGCTGATTTTTTTGTACCTATGATTTACAACTCACCTAACTTCTTTATTAATTTCTCCTCTTCGATCGAGACTGTCCACTGTTGGGAAAAGAACATGGCGCATATCTTGCCTGTTCACGGATGCAATCCGCTCGCACGCGCGATGTTCCATCTGTACTGGTAATCGATGGAATGTGAACTGAATGTCAAACTTCTTTCCTTTAATATAAGGCATTCTGAGGAGAAAAACACATGAGGTAATAAAAAAGAACATGCATTACATACGAGATTTAGGAATATATGAGGCGAAAGAAATCTCTTTTTCTCCCTGATTAGATCGTATGTGTCGAGGGCGAGGAATGTTTGGAACAATACACCCCTAGCCCTTAAGTAGCGACCTCCCGTAAACGGCCACCAGTAGGAGTTAAGTCTCTTCTTTCTCATTTACACCAATACCTTCGCAGAAACCTTTTCACCACAGTCCGTAAGTCAGTTCTCTCCCAGTAAGTCGCTGCAGTTTTCAGTCTTGTAAAGTAAATTCGTAAATAACAACCATTTCCAAGCTTCATTGACCAGGCTGATAAAAGCCAAAGCAACTTATGCAAAGCTCTGAGAACAATGATACTTTCTTAAAATGTATTTTGATCAATGCACAACGTACTCGTTCATGTCAAAGCCAAGTTTCACATCCAGCATTTGAACCTTGTGCACGATTCCTTCGTATCGCCGCTGTAATATACCTGGCTCGTAGGCATAGATCTTATCACCGCGTAACACGGACGGGCGATTTTCTGCAAGGCCAGGTACCTGGGAATCACACGCAAAAGCAACAAATAAAACTCAAAATAAAAGAAAACATTCACCATGAAACTGAAATCCTGTTAGTTTATAAATCTGTTCTTATGCATTCTATGCATGCTTTTTCTTCTCTAAAGGAAACTGATTGAAAAATTGAGTGGTCCAATAAAAAATGATGGTAAATTCATCATAGCATTATAAGGGACGTCAACTAAATATCCCGAATCCTGGAAGAGTGAAAATCCTAGACCCCAGGGGTTCTCGAAAGCGATCAGTGAGGCCAAAAGAAAATCAGGCATTGGTGTTATTCTGGAAAAAAACGGCTTTTCGATGTAACATATTTCTTTAAGAGTATCCTCCAACCTCTAAGTTCAGAAAGCGTCTGTCCCCTCTTTCCTGTTGAAAAACAACTCCTTTCATATCATAGTTTCTGATATCCTTCTGCATTTGAAATTCTTCCAAGTGAAGGAGCAGACAGAACTTCTCTTTGTAGTTGTCAAAACTTAAATTCTTCTTCAATCGCTCGCTGAAAACAAGACAAGCATGTGAGCTGCAGATCATACACCCTGCGCCTCTTTTTAATTAAGGCACGAACTAGACTTACCATAGTCCCTCTCCGATCTGATTGTTTTTCATGACCTGGGCTTTTACCTGGGCTTTTACTGTTAAAGGGATTTCATAAACGTCCAGCTTCTCCATAATTAAACCATTTCTCTGCATCCTAAAAAGCAAGGAAGAGTTAAGTAAAAAAAAGTCAGCGAATTTCAATGTTTACATAGTAAAACTGAGCCCATGCGTAAATTCCACCGATTGACTTCGTTTTCTGCATGAAAGTCAATAGGGTTGGAATCCATATCTTGGTTTATGAGCACTCGCGTTATCTGATAAAAACATATAAATTTGGGGAAAGTCTTATGAAAAGTTTTAGAGGTGTATTTCAATAAAAGAAAAAAACACCCTAATGACAAGAGCAAGGAAAATTTGAATGTCAAGAGCTAGACAAAGTAGATTAAAGTTATTTGTAACCTGTCGCCTTGTTAAGAGATGCATTGAACAGAGGGCTCTTGTAACTGAAAGAATCCTTCGTCCTTCGTGCAGCCTTGCGGTTTGCTTTGTTTATGGCAAATGAAAAGTGAAAAATGTGTGTGTGTGTGTGTTTTTTTTTAACTCATGCTAAATTTTTCAATGAATTAAGTATTTTACTTCCTCAGGCATTCAACGCAGACGTATAAAGAAAAAGAACAATAACAGAAACCGATAATTTCAAACAAATGATCAACAGAAATTGCCACACACTACCGTGGAAGGGGTATCCCTCCAAATGTTTTAACATCCCTGGGAATTTCTGGTGCCCGAGGGGGAGGTCGATACTCTGAGGTCTGCTTCAAGTCATCGTACAAGTCACTCACGATACGCACGGAAAAAAACCTCAGGATATGAAACTCCTTCCCGTCTTCAGTTTGAAATGTAAGCACACCAGGAACATACGAATAACCAAACTCCCGGCGACGCTTGCAGCCAATCCTGAACCTTTGCTTACAACCTTTAGAGAATAAAGCCAATTGCTCACGTTACTGTTGAGATATGCATAACCTTACGCAGTACTTTGAGCCCAGAGGTTAAGGAATTTTCACAAGGTGATGAACTGCTCTCATTCGATTGAGTCCAAGGCAGTTGACCATATGCTGTCTAAACACAATAAATCTAATGCTTTTTTATCGCGTCCAATAATCAAATAGAACTACCGTGAATAGAGCAATTAGAATCGCATTAATTTGAACCTTTGTATCAAGTTTACACCCCTAAATACGTTAGGTCTCGCTGAAATAGGACAGTTAGTCTGTGGGTATTGAGATGGGTGTCCTTTTTGAGCATTTTAGCTGCGACTTGAGGACAGTCTTAGACCATCTGAGACAAATGTTCCTCAACTTCTATTGCACACCATCTTAATCATATTAGGAATACTCTTAGCCATCGGAAAGGACAGGATTTACTGACAAATATATACATTCATCAAAGGAACAACTCTCTCTTTACTGCAAACAAATCTTCCTTTTCCAATATTTCTCAAATGTCAAAACAACAATTGATTAAAACTACCTAAGAGTTGTAGAGAGCAGGTCACAATTTACCTGGGTAGAGTTGACCTTCATCAGGCCCAATACTGGATATTTCCGAGTAGTCAAAAAAGTTGACACTCCACAACAAAGTGATATCCTTCAGGGTGATGATCTCCTCACTGCGGTTCTCTATAATCAACACAATCTGCCCGTATTTTCCACTCTCAACTTTCAATTCTATCACACCATGTTCATCTCCAGCTGGATCTGAAGTAACTCTTATCCCATTTTTGTCAAAGACAAGTTCTGGTCTGTGAATAAGACAGGAAAGATTTACTTTTAATTTACCTAGGAATTCTCTAAAAGTTTTTTTCAGGTCTGCTATTTCAGTTTCCTGACAAATATCACCCCTTACTTAAACAACTTTACCAAGAAACATATCAAATTTGATCCTCGCTGTCCTGTAAATCTGTATGACTAGTTAATATCAGCGTGAAAAGGGGGTTGGTCATGACGGGAGAGCAGTTGGGGACACTTACATCCCTTACAAGGAACAGTTGTGGAGGAAACAATTTAAAATTATCTCATAACACGTCCAATTTGTCCCTATACAGGTAAACATTCTAGAAACTAAAACGAACCCTTAATGTTACTACTCTCAAGAAAGCAGCCATTACTTACTCATGCAGCTAGATAGAAATAATGAAGAGAATCAAATCATTGATTCTGTGAGTTTGTAAGCATTGGAATCAGTTTTCCCTGATTCTCTTTAGAAACGGAATACACATTAACAAGAAGCAGAACAATGAAATATCTTTGAAAAGGAAAGCACTTACTTTTTTAGTGATTTTCGAATCGTTACGAGGATATACTGTTGGCGATGTTTCACTCCTTCGATGTGTTTCCTGTAGGCCTCGCCATTTCCAAGATCTTTTTTACAAGTTTGACAATAGTAAGGCCTCAAACTCAGGGAAGAGCGCCGATAACAAAGGTCATCAGGACTATCTCCCTGCTCCTCAGGATCGTCGGTAAGGAGTTGAAGAGCTGCGGCTTCTCCACCGCCAAAGATAACACGATCTTGAAGTTGCTGACAAGCATTTATATGGTAGGTGAGCGTATTCAAAAGTTTGGAGAATGACATACCCAGCGTGTTGTACAAAGGACGAAATTCTCCTTGATAGATTTGCCTCAAATCGTCAACAAACATGTCTTCTTTACGATTGTTGTCTTCCAGAAACTTAACAAACGTTTGGGCAATATTTTTTTCCTGCTCAAGAGTTCTGCTCGATCTAGGGCGACGAAACATACTGGCAAAGGTCTGCAATGGGAATGATCAAAAACGTTTTTAAAACAAAAAAAGCTTTACAGTTGCGATTTACACTAAAAATTTCATGGTCTTTCATCCAAATTAAAGTGAAACAGGAAACATGATATGCACAACACATGTAAGGTGCGAGAAAGAAGAAGGAATGAAAATAGTCACGCAAGGTTCATGATTTGCAAAAGAAATTGCATGAAAAGGTGAAGAGAAACGCATTGCGTGGCATGAGCTGCTTTTAATTCGAAAATGTTTAGTTTTTGCCCTCTTATTTTCTCGCTAAAACTGACTAATTATTCAGCGAAGTCAGGCCGGAAGTAAGACGATTATTGTAATACCCAGAGATCATTTTGTTGGCCTGTACGACTGAAATGAGGCTAACAGAAAGTTATGCCCGTTGATTTAAACTGAGAGTCATCTAAGGTTTGGAGGCTGGTGACATCATATACAAGTACTGTCTGAGAGTTTTGAAAATCCTCAATGTTCAGTTTACTATCGTTTCTCACCGAGGTTCAGAAACCTATGTCATATAGACTATCTCATTTTAGCCATTGTTTAAGAAAACCGCATCCTAAACAATCCTCAGTTTAGGTAAACCTTTAATCCGAACATTCGAATTTGTAACAAGGATCAAGAGGGCCAAAAGGGCCAGAAATATATTATACATCAGCCCTCCTATAAGGGAGAAAGCCCGAGGCTCACTTATTGCGTAAAACAGTTAGGTTAGACCCCGTGTAAATAACCGGCCAAGAGAATGTTGTAATTTGGCAGACTTGATAACAGTCTGCTACAGCTCTTGACACGTCTAAACTCGCCTTTTAAATCCCAAAATGAAAGCAGCGATAGATGAACTCAAATCAAACTGCTCACTAAGAATAATCATGCGGCTCTGTAAGGTTTTGTTATATACCATGAGAAATTTCTCTTTCTCGACCAAAGATCTTCAGTGGGCACAGTCTTAGAAAGTCGACCAAATTCTCCTGCATGACAAAAAAATTATCTACGACCCGGTTGAACGGAAGTGACGAACGTTTGTACCGGGGCTGTGAAATGCCTTACGAAAGCACTTTCAATTTCTTCTGTTCTCTCCACATCGGTAACACTAACAAAGCCCGAAAAAACGTCAATTATTTCATCATTAGTTTACTGCACCCTGATTCAAATCTGTGTAACGCGCTCAAATCGTAGGTATTAAAATTTCTCCGAGATAAAATTCTCGGAAAACTACATCGATGATGTCATTTCTAGGAAAAGAACAAAGTGTCGCGTATCGATCGGCCAATGCACCGGCTTTAGAGCTGAAAATTCAGAGAAGGATTTCTCACGACCGAAGCTTAAACGAAGGCTTACAAAAAACTTAATAATATTACACGCTACGAGCTGAAAAAGGTACCAGTTGAAACTCACTGGAATTCTTATTGAGCATCAAGCCAGTAATACAGGCTTGGGGTCTCACTTATGATTCAAACAAATTAAGAAACATATCTGTATAATAACAGAATTCTTTGCTTTTAGTACTCACCTTTGAGCTATGTATGCCTTCGATTTCTTTCACTGAATATTACGACAGGCAAATACAAATTTATAATGTTTTTCTGCTGAATTGGACGCTTTCTCAGTATCGCTCGGCTATGACGTCAGATTTCCAAGAAAACAGCTCCGACTTGATTATTTTAGATGTCCCGGATACTTACTTGTACGTTTATTAGTTAATTATCGTTGAAGGTGGTTTCGCTGAATTTATTAAAATTTAATGATATGGAACATGAGTTTGCATAAAATTATTCCTGAAACGAAAATGTTTGTCACTTAGCTCGAGGGTAATGCTACCCAGACCTTCCACTTATCTGATGCCATGAGGAAATTAACTCAACTTAAGAAATGAGCTGTAAGCAATGAAGACTTGATGCAGACACAATTAAGTCAAATTTTTGGAGCAAAGAGCTAACAGTTGGAAAAAGCTAAAAGGGACTGAATTTCTCAAGACTCCTTCGAAACCATAGTTTGCCAAGTCAACCAACTCTCCCCGGACAGGAAGCGTTTGAGCGTTGCGTGACATCGAAAGAGCCGAGGCCGAAGAGACTTGGAGCCCTCTCTCACCTTAGAGGGGTGGAGAGTGGAACTGAACCTGGGCCGACAGAGACCTAGTGCCAAGTCCTTCGATGGGTACGAGGTTATTTTCACTTTCCTTTCATACTTCCTTTGCATCATTTATTTTCATTTACTTCCGATGGATACTTTGTATCTGCTGCACAATTGGGACCTTAAGAAACCACGACGGCGACGCCAAGGAAGACTTCGATTAAAAAATTAATTTCTACTCTTATTTAGAATTTCAAAAATGGCTGCAGGAGCTTACTGTCTCATATAGCGCCACAGCTCAACTTCAACATGACGTATAAAGTAGCCGTTGAGTTCCACATGGAAATTAAAATAATTTGCCGTCTCGGTTTCGGTTCGCAGACGACGCAGATTTTGGCGATTTCACGTTGTTGTTTTGCATAGGACGGCTAAGAAATGTGCAAAGTTTCAAAACGCACGTGCTGAGCTATTGTTCTGCCAATTAGATCTCTTGTTTTTCCACGTCCTCGTTGCCGTCGCCGTCGTGGTTTCTTAAGGTCCCTAATACGGTAGTT